TCTTTCTTCTGAAGGTATCTATCGATTCAGGTATTTTTTCATGACTTTGGGGATTTATATTTCCACAGCAGTTGGGTTGTTAACAGTCTAATCAGAGATGTAAAGACGTAAGAGCACCAAAGTATAAATTATATTTGGCATAGTTTGTCATGATTAATAATAGAATAGTTGAAGGCCTTAAAGATTATTTTGACCTCTCTTTCATTGAATCTTTTATTCTAAAGAGGATGTTTTCATAATGGAGTGAGTTTATTGACTGAATTGAAGTTCATCTTGATATAGTATAATAGATTAAAGAATTTATTTCCAATTTGTGATTTTCATCTCAGTTTTTGAAAAGGTTATTGTTCTGTAGCACTATTCTAGGAATAGAAGTGGTACATTTTTACTTGCTGCCATTGGTTATGTGAATAATGCCTCTAGGAGGTGGTCTGAGCTGCTCATTACACTGTTCCTGAGATTACCACTGAGCTTGTGCCCTACTTGAAGATATACTTAAAAATACTGAGGTCATTTTGTTTAAAAAGCAGTTCATATTTGAATATTGAAGGAGTTAGCTGTGAATAAGAATATCTAAGCCAAGTTTGTGATCGAACTATAGCCAAATGGTTAGGAATATAAAGAAAAAGTATTACTGGGTGGTATAGTTTTTTTTTTTTTTTTTAGTATGCAAAACCACCTAAGTGAATTAAACTCGGGGTAGAAGACAACTATCCAGACATTGTAGCCAGCGCATCTGCATCTTTCTACTGACCATGGTAAAGCACATTGTGAACATTACCACTTAAAACTAACTTTTCTCTTTAAGGGCTCCTGAAATTGTGCCAGCTGACTCCAAGTCCACCCTGACCCCACAGCATAAACCATGCTGTCATGTCACAGCTACCATAGAACTCCAGGGTAGTGTTGAGCTGGCCCATGTGGGCTCAGGTAAGTCCTGGCTTTTTTTTACCATTTGGCATTCTTTTCAAAGTTAGTTACGATTATGATTTTATGTCATAAAAGAAAATAAGGCAAAACTTTGAAAACTGTGCCATATATGGGGGAAAAAATAAGTCTGTTTTCTAAACATCTATGAGCCAGCTCCATATTCTAACCAACGGAGTTCCATAGTAGCTGTGAAGTCCCCAGTGAGTTGTGACCTGTGGCTTCAAAATATGTTAAATTCCACTCCTGGCCCAGCTTCTAGAACAATATGAACTTTTTTTTTTTTTTTTAAACTTTATAGTTTGTAAGACGTAGTAACTTTCATTTACTCTTAGGTCTTAATGTTTTTAAAAGTATATTAACACTTCGCATTATCTGTAATTATGCACCACTGCTTAGTTGGTTGTGTATTTCATTCAGTCAGTTTTGAGTGTATGATGATACTTAGGTTAGTTTTATAAAGTTAATCTCAGAGTGTCTTCAGCTGTCCTTTTAATTTGCCTTCATAGCACGGAAGAAGAAGGGACAGAACGTGTAATAGACATTTATTAAATTTTCAGAAAACATTACAAGAAAGACGCTTCAGTTACTCTCTTGGAGGCAGTGTGAGAGGTCAGTAACTAGGAAGCATGTATATATCACCTCTTCCATTGGAATTGTCCTGGTTTTTCCTGGTCGTTGTTACACGAAATGAGATTTTATCCCTTGTGTTTATTTTGCTGTCTTTTCCTACCTCTCAGCTCTTCTCCCCTCTTGCTACTTTTCTATATCATACCCTGATATTAGAGGTGGTAAAATTTTATGTGAAGAACTCAAAAGACATTTTGTAAGTTGTTCTGCGTATAATCTTATACTTTTTTCCCCCTAAGTAGAAAACATTTAGTAGCTAAAGCTTTACCTTATCTGAGTATGGGCCAAATCCTTTTAAATACCTTGTTTACAGTGAAAACCCATCTGTCAAGAAACTGTGGACACGTTAATCAATAGCTGTCTTTGAACAATGTGTCATAAAGATAGACTAAACATTTGGACTGTTCAGCGACAGTCTCATGAAATTTATAATAAATGTACTTTGTAGCTGAAAACTCACTGGTAACTGAAACTAAGTTTTTTTTTTTTTTTAAATGTTAACTCTTTTTTTTTTTTTTTAAAGATTTTAAGAATGAGAGATAGAGAGCACGAGAGGGAAGAGGGTCAGAGGGAGAAGCAGACTCCCTGCCGAGCAGGGAGCCCGATGCGGGACTTGATCCCGGGACTCCAGGATCACAACCTGAGCGGCAGGCAGTCGCTTAACCAACTGAGCCACCCAGGCGCCCTAATCACAGTTAATGAAAAGAGTGGAATCCTATGTTTCCAAAACATTAGATGATAATATATTTTTCTTTAAAATACTACTTTGTGCCTGTACTTATGTTTGTGTTTTTCATGTTCTAGAAGATTTGGAGGATTTTATGCTGTGATGAATAGAGCACAAACTCTCTATTCTCTTCATCTTCATTTTCTGCCCTCCTGGATTTGCTCCATTCTGGGGAGTGGCAGCATACCCTGTCTGCAGTTCAGTGCAGAGTTTGGGGTTGAAGGAAGTAATTGTTTTTGTATTTTCGATTTGGACGAATAGAAGTCATGTTTTTTTTTTTGTATATGTATCCTCTTTATTGAGCTAGAATTCATATACTGTGCAGTTCACCATTTGAAGTTCTATTCGTATTTAAAAAAAAAAAACGCTTAATTTGAAGGCCAACTGACATTGTAAATCATAATTCCAAAGCACAGTTCGTCAACTTGTGCTATTTGGTCTGTTACCCCCCCCTCCCCCTTGATTATGTTAGTTAGTTTCTAATTACAGAAATCCCTCACAAACATGACAGAGGAAATGAATTCTTAAGCAAGACTTTCTAAGATGAGATTCTTCCAGATACCAGCTATATGGTGAGTTAGCTAAAAATAGTGAAGACAGTGATTTAGAAGTTGGTTGGCAGTCATCTTTGTCTTTGAGAAACAAAAGAAGGTGTGTGTGCATGGGCATGCACGTGCCTAAATAGGTACACAGATGTATACATGTTCTGTGCAGGTCTTCCTCTGTATCTTCTCAGGTAAATTGATCAGTCTTTTTGGTCCTTGGGTGGCTTTTCTTATGTCATAAAGAAATTTTATAAATATATTTTATAAATAGATATTTTACAGTTAAAAAACTGGATAAGGGGCAGTGATACTGAAGGCACCCAGAATAGTGACAGCTTTGATAGGACTAACATGAAAAGCAGTTGCCTTCACACGGAAATACATGTACAGGGAAGGAAACCGAGCAGGGCATATTTAGTTCTAAAGAGATGAACCACATTAGATTATTCATAAAGTTACAAGCTCTCTCTGATTATTCTCCTCTGTTCTTAAAACAAATTAAGCAGAAATTTTAGAGTTCTTTGTGTACTTGACTCTTTAACCATAGATTTGTTTTTATTTCAAGTAGGGCTTTCTGTGTCTGTTTTTAAGGCTTGCCCTTTGGAGAAGATTCCTGCCAGCCGTATCACGTTTTGGCCCTGATGACTTCTCCAGGGCACTGGGCCTCCTAAGGGTGTGTTAAAGCCCTTTCCATAGTGGGGGTGGTACACAGTGAGAGCTGCACTTAGGCATTTCTAGTGAAGAATGTGTATTAACCTATGTGGCCATGAAAATAAAAGTTCCTGTAATAAGGTGTTCTCGTTTGATATCATGGATTTCTTCACCTGAAAAATGTCTGTGTCGGTGGCAGGGTGTCCTTTTATGGGGGAGTGGGTCTAGATTTGCAGAAAGGATCTTTGGCCACAGAGTCTGAAAACTTTTGAAGCTGGCCTTTTATGGTCCACAGATGGGATGAGAAAGGACTGTTTTAAGTATAGGAATCATGTTTGTACTGTGTTTCTCACATTGCCTCGCACAGTGCTTTGTATGTCATGGGTGTTCAGTGAACATGGGAATTATTTTAAAGTTTTGCTATTTTTAATAACTGGGAGAAATTGTTGCATTGTACCAATCTGTTATACTACAAAGAGTAGCTCTTATTTCTCTAATTCTTAATTCAAGATGGCAATTAAAAAATGGTTCTTTAAAAAATACACTAAGAATATTTTTAGCTGGTATTAGCATTTTACCCAACAAACAAATTTTTCCTGATATAACTTAGGATACACTTAAAATTATTTGGTCCTTCAGTCTTAAGGGGTGTGTGTGTGTGTAACACTATTTGTGGTTAAATTTGAAGCTTATCTACACCTTTATATTTGCCAGGGATATTTATTCATAAATGTGTACTGTACTGCTTAGTAAATAGGATTACTGTCTTCACCTAATAATTAATTTGTGTTAAGTTTAGTAACATGGGTTAGTGGAACAAAGTTCTTTATGGATTGGGAAAAATGGTACTTGTTTTATCTCTCTACCCCCAATTGGTTTGTAATGTTTATTTTAGCATATTTTTGTTCTAACTCATCTGGTTCAAGTTTTACTGTATTAATACTTAATGAGTGTAAGGAAGACTTGGCTTTGAGATGTTCTGAAATCAAAATGTTGCTAACTTTAACTTATATTGAAAATGGTTTTAACTGCTCTGAATTGTTTCATACCTAAACAGCAATATGGAAGGCTCAGCATCTGTTTTGATTCAGCTTAAAAAGTGCAGTTGTAAAGGGCAAGAGAGCCCAAAGCCAACAGGAAGGACATCCCCGTCTCCTTGGTTTCTGCAGAGTCAGGACCAGACAGGAGTTTAGTGTCTTCTGTAAAGTCTAGTTTCTCATACTAGGATTACTGATCTCTTTGATCCAATTAATATATTCTAATGATTCCTCTAAGCCTCGAGCATGGAGCCAGCGCTGATGTGAAGGTAAGTACCTAAATAGGTAGTTCTAGTTCTGGAAAGAAATTAAAGGGAGAGGAATACACCAGTTTTCCTTAATATTTAGAACATTTAAATATGTTGTCCCGGGGTCCAGAAATCCTAGAGAAACACTTAAAAGGGTTTAGAGTGAATGCAACAGGTTTATGCTTTTGGAAGAAAAATAGAAATAAACTCTTTTCTATCTTGCTGCTTGTTCTAGGGGTTGTGGAAGGTGACTTAGCCGCTATAGAAGCGTACAAGTCATCAGGCGGGGACATCGCGCGTCAGCTCACTGCAGATGAGGTGCGCCTCCTGAACCGCCCTTCTGCTTTTGATGTTGGCTACACTCTAGTACATCTGGCTATACGCTTTCAGAGGCAGGATATGCTAGCAATACTGCTTACAGAGGTGAGTATGGCACTTTGGTTAAACGTTTTATGTGACGGAAGTGTGTTCATTAGTTTTCATTTTTGATGTAATGTTTTTCTAAACTGTTCTTAAATGTTTTGTATTTCTTTTACTCCCTTTGTAAATTCACACTAAATTGAGACTTCCAACAGTGTATAATTCCTAAAGGTATTATGCTTTTAAAATAGAACATTTTGCCACAAGATTTGAATCATCAGTTTGATTGAAAAATAAACACTAGGATGTATCTTTCATTCATTCATTTAACCAATGTTTATTGAGTACCTACTGTGTGCTAGATACGGTGCTAAAAAGGGATATAATTGTGAAGACATTGGCTCTTCCTTCAGTGCGTATCCAGAAAAGTAGAGAAATAAACAGGTAATTCTGTACAGAGTGTGTTCTCATAGATGTAAATGCCAGGTGCTGTGGGAGTACTTGAGAACGTGTTTTGGGGTATCTTACCTTCTTACCTAGAGTAGGTAACATTGTAGTGGAAATCCGAAGGAGAAGTAGGAGTTAGCCTCATAAGTGGGTGGAGGAGAGAGGGAAGTTGAGGAAACCATTTATTCAGAGGCCCTGGTGGTAGTGTTATATACTGTTGGAAGTCTCAATTTAGTGTCTATGGTAGTGTCTGTGGTGAGGTCAGGCACTTGCAGGTACTCAGCATGCCTGTGATGGTGATTGGGAACTGGGAAGGGAAGCACTGTGAAGGATGATCTAGGCCAGGGAATTGGAAGATTGTCCCTAGGGCAGTGAACAGGCTGTGCAGAACGTTAGGGAGAGGGTCAGGGGAGTAGCCAGATCAGGTCAGAGTGTTCTGACTTCTGTTGATGGGCGAGGGGGAGCCTGGGTAAGGTAGCACTGTGTGATGCTGGTGATGCTGGCAAGCGCTCTGCTGGTACAGGAGTGGCAGCGGCAGTGCCAGGAGGTGGGCGGGTTTGAGAGGGCTGGGCGACGGGGTCAAGATGGCGCGGGTCGATGGGATGTGGGGGGAGGGGCCAAGTTGGTTCTGAGCGCTTGCACTTAGGTAAGTACGCAGATGTCACAAAGGATTGCAGATGAGCGATTCAGGATGTGACCATATTATCCAGGTAATTCTTTTAATGGTAAGAGAAATAGAGTGAGAGTGCAGAGAGTCAGGTCAGTTGTAGATTCCAATTTTGTCCCGGTCCGTCTTCTGGGGTATGCATGTGCGTACTTGCATATTCAGATTGGCCAGTGTTGGGAACCATTATGTACAAAGCACTGGGGGGGATTAAGGAATGTGAGGGTTACCTGAAACCATGATTGAAGTGGCTAGCCATTGTTCAGTTTGCTAAGAGTCCAGTGACGCCAGAGGCACCAAAAAGAGGAAGGGAAGGGCTTGAGCGATAGTCATGTGAAAACAAGGGGCAGCCTTACTGTGGATAGAAAAAGGGACTGTTTGAAAAGCAGCAATGTTTTAAGAAGGCCCAGAGTTCTGGAACAGGGGATGGAACAGTTAGAGGGAGTTTCTGTAGTATTTGAGGTCTGGCTATATTTGCATTTTGTGTATTGGCAGGGCCAGTGTGTAGAGCTGTAGTTGCTGGTGGCTGGCAAGAGGCAGGATAGAGAGGGCGGCTGTGAATCAAGGCTCAGGTCCTTTGGGGGGTTCCTGGACTCCCCTCAGCCTGGCAGAGGGCTGTGAGAAAGTTGGAGGGACGAAGTCACTGATCTCCGAAGAGCATCTTGGGACTAACAGTGGGAAGGCAATAGAACCCCAGGGTACTATTTACTGCCTAACAGATCACCTCCATTTAGCAGCTTTAGACAACAGTTGTTATCTTCACACAGTTTCTGAGTGTAGGGAATCTAGGAGCTGCTCTGTTGAATGGTTTTGGCTCAAGGTCTCATGAGTTTACAGTCACATTTTCAGAGCTGCACTTGTCAAAAGGCTTGACTGGGGTGAGACGATCTGGTTCCAAGCACACTCGCATGACTGGTGGCGGGAGGCTTCAAATCCTGGTCATGTGGGCCCCTCCAGAGGGCAGGTTTCACCAGAACAAGTGATCCGAGAGAGAGGGCACGAGAGACTGATCCACATGGAAGCTTCAGGGTCTTCTAGATGGAACCTAATTTAGGAAGCGACGTACCATCATTTTTGCCATATTCTCTGGAACACATAGACCAACCGTGGTGCACTGTGGGAGAGGTGGGAGCGGGGTGGATTTCCAGGGAAAGAACCAAATTGGGTGTGGAATGTCATCTCAGCGGAGTGGGCACTCCAGAGGACAGAATTGAAGGGGCCGGTAGGGAGATTGGACTAAGTAAGGGATGTGCCTGCAGAGAGAGCACAGAGCTAAGTATTTTTGGGTTGAGACTAGGAGAACATTATATTTTGGGGGATATGTATCTGGGGCAGGGTTTTTTGTTTTTTTTTTTTAAATATTTTTTTAATTTATTTGACAGAGACACAGCGAGAGAGGGAACACAAGCAGGGGGAGTGGGTGAGGGAGAAGCAGGCTTCCCGCCGAGCAGGGAGCCCCATGCGGGGTTTGATCCCAGGACCCTGGGACCATGACCTGAACCGAAGGCAGACGCTTAACGACTGAACCACCCAGGCACCCCTGGGGCAGGGTTTTTAATTGGAGTTTAGGTCACGGACTCTGTTGGTAGTCTGGTGGAACCTATGAACTCCTTTTCATAATACTGTTTTTTAAATGCCTAAAATAAAAGTAGGATTGCAATGGAAATCAATTATATTGAAATGATAGTTTTTTTCAGAATATTAAATTTGTGATATATAAGAGAATGCATTTTAAATATAGACAGGAGAGGGGCGCCTGGGTGTCTCATTTGGTTAAACGACTGCCTTCGGCTCAGGTCATGATCCCAGGACCCTGGGATGGAGCCCTGCATCAGGCTCCTTGCTCAGCGGGGAGCCTGCTTCTCCCTCTATCTCTGCCTGCTACTCCGCTTACTTGTGCTCTGTCAAATAAAAAAAATCTTAAAAAAAAAAAGGAAACTGTTAAAAAAAAATATAGACAGGAGGTCAGTGAAAATGAAGTATTTAAATTTTTTTTAAAGATTTTATTCATTTGAGACAGATAGCATGGGCAGGGGGAGAGGCAGGAAGCCGACTCCTTACTGAGCTGGGAGCCCCACCTGGGCCTCCATCCCAGGAACCCAGATATCATGACCTGAGCCGAAGGCAGATACTTAACCATCTGAGCCACCCAGGCACCCCTGAAGGATTTAAATTTAATGAAAATTCCCATTCAGGTTCACAGGTCCTTCCCAAGTTCATGTGCCCTAAGTTAAGAATTACTGGCCTAAGGAGATGGTTGAAAGTCATAAGGTTGAAGCGGCTAGAGATAAAGGGTAGGGAAGGTTGTCCAGGTTTGTGGCTTCGGTCTGTAGTGACAACAGAGAACAGAGCTGACTGGTTCACTCAGGGTTCACACCAGACTCATTTCCTCTCCAGCAGATACCTTTGATTTCAAAATTCTTCGTATGTAGTTATCGTGAGCTCCACAAAAGGAATACAACTTAAATATAATATAGTATCTTTGCATCCCTTGTTGGTATCCCTCATGAAAGAGAAAAGGAGTTTCCTAGCCATGCCCTTGCTTAGAAGTTCTCTGTCGTAGTGCTCACTAACTACATCACTGCTCACATTTACTCCTTTCAGGCTGGCTATACTTCGAAGGTTTGTTGTCCTACACTTGGAGAAGCCAATTGCTTTTTTTAAATATTCAGAGTTGTAACAAAGGGGGAGGGATTTGAGGTCAGTGGAAACTAACCCTTTAGAATCATGCTTTCTTTATTCCATGTCAGGGTACTCGAAGTATTCTTTTTTTTTTTTTAATATTATGTTTTGCCTGAATTATTATTTTTTAAGATTTTATTTATTTATTTGACAGAGAGCGAGAGAGGGAACACAAGCAGAGGGAGTGGGAGAGGGAGAAGCAGGCTCCTGGCTGAGCAGGGAGCCTGACGCGGGGGCTCGATCCCAGGAGCCCGGGATCATGACCCGAGCCGAAGGCAGACACTTAATGAGTGAGCCACCCAGGCGCCCCGGTACTCGAAGTATTCTTAACCAATCAGAAGAGTGTTTGTACTTTACTCTTTCTCCGTGAGCTGGAATTTCCTGTTTTTTTTTTTTTTAATAATGGCTTTTCTTCCCTTTTTTTTTTTTAAGATTTTATTTTTTTTATTTATTTATTCATGAGAGACAGAGATAGAGAGGCAGAGGGAGAAGCAGGCTCCCAAGGAGCAGGGAGCCCGATGCGGGACCCGATCCCAGGACTCTGGGATCATGACCTGAGCTGAAGGCAGACGCTTAACCATCTGAGCCACCCAGGTGCCCCAGGAATTTCCTGTTTTTTAAGAATGCTTTTATTGTGGGCATGATGCTTAGTCTTACTTAGGTGGTTTTCTGTGTCCTCCCTCCCTGTCCTAGGATGAACCTTTGTGAACAGCACCATTTTACATAAGTTTTTATCTAAATCTTTATATATTTCCTTGGGATAAATTCCTAAGAAGTGAATTTCCAGAGTCAGAAGGTAAAGCATTTTTATGGCTATTTTCCTGGAAAGTTGTACTGAAACATGTTTCCACTGGTGAGGAAATAATCCCTAATCTGTTTTAAAATTAAACAACACCCTGAGTTACTGGGAAGGTTTGGTAATTTCTCTTTATACTGTTGTTTTCTGCTTATGTTAATGATAAATGAGATGCAGAGGAAAGTTTCTTTTGTGTTTAAGGTGTCTCAACAGGCAGCAAAGTGTATTCCAGCAATGGTGTGTCCTGAACTGACAGAGCAGATCCGGCGAGAGATAGCCGCCTCTCTTCATCAGAGAAAGGGGGATTTTGCTTGCTATTTTCTGACTGACCTTGTTACATTTACATTGCCAGCAGGTAACTCCAAATTTCAATGTGAAAAGAAATGTTCACTTTATTATAATTCTTTTTTTTTTAATGTGTGGGTGAAGTTGTTTCTGTTACAAAGCAGATAACTTAGCTACTGTATGTGCATTTTAAATAATTTGACTACCCTATTTATCCTGGAAGTGACCAATACAAGGGTTCCTTGTAAACTTATGCTTTGGATCCGGTAGGAAGATAGCGGCTGATAATAACTGACTTCTGTGTGGGCCTTAGATGTTTTAAAAAAATCTTTACCCATTTATTTTTCTCTTCAGGTTTAGTTTATGATATTGGTATACTTTTTCTTTCCTTTTTCATACCTATTTTAAAATTATGTGACTTTGGTTATTGGTATATTAGCAGATAGGATTAGAACGCTGGCTTTTGATGGGTGGAATCAGATTATTTGAATCAAAAGACACTGGCATTCTTTTGCAAGTGTCATTGTTTTCTTCACTCATTATATTAATTTCTACTATGTTTGTGAAGCAGCTTTTCATTTTTCAATTCAGTGACAATCAGAAATGTCTTCCAGGATGCTTTTTGTCATTTGGCACCAAATAAACGCACCAAACATCAGAAGTTTCTAAAATCTTCCATCATGGTTCTGAGTGTCTTGAACTTTTATATTGACATGAACAGGGGAATTTACAAATGTTAGGGAGATAATAACTAAGCCTTTTTTTTTTTTTTAAGATTTAATTTATTTTAGAGAGAGTGAGTGAGCACGAGCAGGGTTGGGGAGGAGAGGGACAGGGCCAGGCAGACTCCACGCTGAGCACTGAGCCCAACTTGGGGCTTGATTTCACAACCCTGAGATCATGACCTGAGCCAAAATCAAGAGTTGGACGCTTAACCAACTGAGCCAGCCAGGCACCCCAATAACTAAGTCTTTTAAAATCAGACAAGTTCTGGGGCGCCTGGGTTCTGGGCCTGGGCCTGGGCGGCTCAGTCGTTAAACGTCTGCCTTCAGCTCAGGTCATGATCCCAGGGTCCTGGGATGAGCCCCGTATCGGGCTCCCTGCTCAGCGGGGAGTCTGCTTCTCCCTCTCCCTCTCCTCCTGTGCTCTCTCTCTCTCAAATAAATAAAATCTTAAAAAAAAAAAAGAGTTCACTTGAAATGCACTCTCTGTATACTTAAGCTTACTCTGGTGATGTTTAGATTTTTATTTTGACTTGAACATAGCCTAATTTTTTTTTTTTTAATTTTAAGGGTAATACTTTTTACTGTAGACTGCTCCATTAGTAAACTGAATAAAGCATGGAGAATTTGAGGAAGATGACAAATACAGGGGTCTATGTGCCAATAATTAATGGTTCATTAACTTTTATAAGAAGATTCTAAAGTCTGAAAACAATAGGCCTGAGCAGAGGTTGCGAGTGGGGGGAGACAAGGGCAGATAAATATTTGTATGTTGTTACTGTTTCATCATCTTGAACTTCAGATAGCCCTTTTTTTTCCTTTTCTGTTTTACTGAGGGTTAATTGTCCTATAAAATTGTCAGATATTTCAAGTATCCACTGAGATTTCATATATGCATATGTGGTGAAAGGGTTTCCCTGTCTAGTTATCACACACCCATCGTCACACATGTTTGGTTTATTTATCTGTTTTGGTGAGAACATGTAAGTTCTACTCTCCTAGCAAATTTCAATGATATAATACAGTGTTATAAGATACAGTTACCATGGTTTTGACATTAGGTGTTCAGCCTTATTCATTTTATAGCTTGGAAGTTTTTGTACCCTTTTACCAATCTCTCTTTTCCTCACTTCCCCCAGCCCTGGCAACCTCTTTTCTACCCTGTTTTTATGAGTCTTTTTTTTAAGAGTCCACATGGAAGTGGTACAGTGCAGTATTTGATGTGTCTTTCTCTGGCTAATTCCACTTAGCCTAATGCCGTCATTGCCCTTGTTGCAAATGGCAGGATTTCTTTCTTTCACTTGGCCGAATAACATTCCGTTTTATACCCCCCCATCTTTATTCATTCATCCATTATCTATATCTTGGCTCTTGTGAGTAATGCTGCAACACACATGGGAGTTCAGTACCTCTTCATTATCCTATTTTCATTTCCTTTGGATATATACCCAGATGTGGGATTGCTGGATCATGATAATTCTAACTCTTTGAGGAACCTCCATACTGTTTTCCATGGTGGCTGCACCAATTTACATTCCACTAACTGTGCACAAGGGTTCCTTTTCTCCACATCTTCACCAACATTGTTATCTCTTATCTTTTTGATAATAGTTGTATGTAAATTATTGGTCCAGATATTAGTTTTTAGATAACAGTTTTGCTAATGAAGTATAGAAAGGAAATCCTTTATGTTACATTTATACACACACACATTATACGTGTTTTTTTTTTTTATTTTTTATATTTTTTTTACGAGAAACCACTTGACAGCCTTCAGTGGCAGGGGAGTTTTTATTTTTTGTGTGTGTGTTTTTAAGATTTTATTTATTAGAGCGTGAGTGAGAGCACCCTGGCAAGGGAATTATTTTAGGGGAAATCACTATTAGATGCTCGTATCAAATTTATTAAGATATGAGACATAAGAAATCTTTTAAGTCTGTTTTTTGCTTTGTAGATATTGAAGACTTGCCTCCAACAGTCCAAGAAAAATTATTTGATGAGGTGCTTGATAGAGATGTTCAGAAAGGTAAGTGTGGAATTAATGAATGTGATTTAGTTCAATTTCCATAAACGCTTTGCTTTGTAAGGCTTGGAGCAGTTCAGTGTATGGTTGGCTTGTTTTATTTTTACTTTAATTGAAAATGTAAAGTTCTTAAGAGCAATGTCACATTGTGCTGTTAAAAATGTTCATTCTGTTAATTATATCTCGATAAAACTAGAAAAAAAATTTAAGAATGCTCATTCACGGCTCTTAACTGTGATGGAATAAAGGTATAAAAGTTTTTAAGCCTCGGTTTTCTACTTCCTATTCTAGAATGGGCATATTTCCATGTTAAGCATTCTTTGCAGATAGTATTTAGTTGAGAAAATTATTCTGGAGCCACAGATGTTTCAACTACTCAGAAGATTTGTATTTCAGTTGATCAGATTTATTTAGGTGTTTAATAGTACATGACACATAAACTTACCAACATCTAGAGAATGGGTTCTTTCCTCCAATGAATAGTCCTAAATTGCATGAAAATGAACATGTTACTTAAATTCCTTATGTAGAGTTAGAAGAAGAATCTCCAATTATCAACTGGTCTTTGGAATTGGCTACACGTTTGGACAGTCGACTTTATGCGCTTTGGAACCGGACTGCAGGAGACTGCTTGCTTGATTCAGTGCTACAAGCTACCTGGGGCATTTATGACAAGGACTCGGTGCTTCGGAAAGCCCTGCATGACAGCCTGCATGACTGTTCACATTGGTGAGCCGGCATCCTTCCCTGTGTAAAACCAGGCGTGCTCTCGCTGAATCATTTCCCTATAGTGTTGGGATACTTTTTGCCTGTTACATTTTCTGTGGAAGCTAGGGGGAAAACTTTGGTTTTGCACATTGAGACACTTTGAACATTTTGGCGGCTTTTAGACCTTTTTGCTGAGCTTTTAAATAGAAACATTTGAAGTTAAATATTGATAAGGTCTTTGCTCATATTTTTAAGTGTTATTCCATATTTTTGTTGAAATTTAAAAGATTATGTTGGCATTATATTACAAGATTTTTTTTTCCTTCCTGAGGCACATAGTCTTCAGACCACATTTTATTTTGCAAATTTTGAAATCCACAGTAAAGTTAAAAAAATATATCAGTGCAACAGACTCTAGTGTTTTCTTCATTAGATGTCCAGTTGTTAACCTTTACCCACATATGCTTCATCTCTACATATGTAAGCACCTCCCTTTGTCAGTTGGTTTAAGTCATCATGATGCTTTTTCCCCCATCAGTGTCTCAGTGTGCATCTTGAAGAACAAGGATATTCTCTTACCCAGCCAAGTCCTCATTACCAAATCTAAGAAAATCAGCAAGGACTCTGTTATCCAATACACAGTCCACATTATATCTTCCACTTATCTCAAAAATGTCCTTTCTGTAGACAGGTTTCCCTGCTATCTGAAAGTACAGCATTCCTGGGAAACCTTTTGTCAGCTGAAATGGCATAAAGCAAAGATGCAGTTACCATCTCGTAGAAGTGAAAATCCTCTTCAGATTTCTTTTCGGCTAGCAAAAACAGGTGCTAATATAGGTCTTTTGTAAAGGTGAAGGGATACGAAGCAAGCTTTCAGATAGTGGGGAATCTTGTATGTATATATACATATACTTGGGTGGATGCCGGGTAAAAAAATATTGCCCGGCATCCACCCAAGTATGTGACTGGTCTTGACCTACGCTATTTTCTTGGTTCTGTATATACATCTCAGTTATCATAAATGAAAAAAATTGAGACTGTGAAAGAAGCTAAATTAATTAAAATGTGTTTTTCCCCCCACTCTTAACACCTAATTGAATGCTCACACAATAATGATAATGGCCTTACTCCAAAAAACTTTACTACCCTAGTTCCTGTATGTAATTTTTGAGCACTTACTAGTTGTGAATTTTGTTGTCAGTATTTAGGGATTATGTGAAGTCCATTAGAATATAAACTCCATGAAAACAGAGATTTTGTTGTGTTTCATTGTGGAAGATCTAGTGCCTCCAGTAGCCTGACACATAGTAAGTACATAGTAAACATTATTCAATGAAAGTACTCTCTAGAATTTGAAAATGAAAGCAATTTAATCACTTTTTTGAGAGCTAAATAAATCATAGATAAAAGCATAATGCAAGAGAGGAAGAATTTGAGGTCACCTGAAAAAAATTAAACAGCTCTCTGGCTGGCAAGCCTCGATAGTAACCTGATTGGATATATAATACGTACAGGCATACCTCGGAGATATTGTGGGTTCAGTTCCAGACAACTGCAGTAAAGTGAATATCGTAATAAAGTGAGCCAAAGGAAACTTTAGTTTCCCAGTGCATAGAAAAGTTTAGTCTGTAGTCAAGTGTGCAATAGCATTAGGTCTTAAAAAACTATACATACCTTAATTTTAGAAAATATGTCTTTGCTAAGAGACCCTAACCATCATCTGAGCTTTCAGTGAGTCGTAATCTTTTTGCTGGTGGAGGGTCTTGCTTCAACGTTGATGGCTGCTAGGTGATCAGGGTGATGGTGGCTGTTTCTTAAGATGACAGCGAAGTTTGCTGCATCAATTGACTCTTCACAAATGATTTCTCTGTAGCATGTGATGCCGTTTGATGGCATTTTACCCGCAGTTAGAGTTCCTTTCAACATTGGAGTCCGTGCTCTCAACCCCTGCTGCTGCTTTATCAGCTAAGTGATGCGATAGTCTCAATCCTTTGTTGTCCTCTCAACAGTCTTCACAGCATCTTCACCAGGTTTAGATTCCATTGCAAAAAACCACTCTGCCCGTCCATCCCAAGCAAGTCCTCATCTGTTCAAGTTGCGTACGAGCTCGCAGCGCTCCAGTCCCGTCTCCACGCTCCACTTCTCATTCTAGCTCTCTTGTTCCCAGCACGGCTGTGGTCACATCCTCCACTCAGGTCTTGAACCCCTCCAGGTCATCCATGAGGGTTGGAATCAACTTCTTCCAAATGCCTGTAAATGTTGTTATTTTGACGTCTTTCCAGGAATGTTCTTAGTTGCATCCAGAATGGTGAATCCTTTCCAGAAGTTTTTCAGTTTCCTTTGCCCAGATCCGTCTGAGGAATCAATGTATATGGCAGCTATAGGCTTACTTGGAATAATGGCTTGAAGGTTGAAATTACTCCTTGATCATGGGCTGCAGAATGGATGTTGTGTTAGCAGGCATGAAAACAGTCTGGTTGTCCATCTCCATCAGAGCTCTTGGGTGATCAGATGCGTTGTCGGTGAGCAGTCATAATTTGAAAGGAGTTTTTTACCTGAGGGGTAGGCATCAGGTATTTCAAAATATTTAGTAAATTATACTGAAAATGGTTGTGCGGTCATCCAGGCTTTGTTGTTCTTTTATAGAGCAGATTATATTTAGCTCAATTTTTAAGGGTCCTAGGATTTTCTGAATGGTCATTGAGTATTGGCTTCAATTTAAAGTCACCAGCTGCATGAGCCCCTTCACAAAAGAGTCAGCCTGTCCTTTGAAGCCAGGCAGTGACTTCTCCTCTCTGGCTATGGACAGTCCCAGATGGCATCATTTTCCAAGAGAAAGACTGTTTCATCTACATTGAAAATTTGTTGTTTAGTGTAGCTTCCTGCATTCATGATCTTAGCTAGATCTTCTGGAGAACTTGTCACAGCTTTTGTATCACTTGCCGATTCACCTTGCACTTTGATGTCTGGATACAGCTTTCCTTAAACCTCATAAGCCAACCTCTGCTAGCTTCAGGCTTCTCTTTGATAGTTTCCTCATCTGTCTGAGCCTTCATAGAATTGAAGAGAATTAGGGCCTTGCTCTGGAAGTGGTTTTGATACTCTTGTGAACACATGGGCTATTTCTAGTCAATTATTTATACAATGACCAAATAGTGAATACTATACAGTAATGTAGAAATGTATTGTCTTTGTATCCAGCATCTCAGATGATTTTGAGTGTGAACTTGTAAACCAATAGTAGACAATTGAAATTGTTCTCATCACTAGTGTTTAAAGTTTTGGTGAAAACTTGATGGGTGGTGAATGAAATTTTGTGTGAGAATGTGTTAAATGATGTCTGTTAGCAGAAGGTAGGCATTTTGAATTTGAAAATACAGTACAAAGTGGGTAAAATTAATAAAATTGCTGATCTCTACATGAATTGCTTAAAGACTACATTAAATAAATGATTGGGACATTTATAGAAGGCTTATTTTTTACTGTCTTGCTTTTTCAGGTTTTATACACGTTGGAAAGATTGGGAATCATGGTATTCTCAGAGCTTTGGTTTACATTTTTCCTTGAGAGAAGAACAGTGGCAAGAAGACTGGGCATTCATACTCTCTCTTGCTAGTCAGGTAAGAATGCTTCGAGGCATGTCGCTTCTGTGAGAAAAGTAGGCTACATGCTTTAAATCCTGGATTTACATGCGTAAGCTATGTTGGAGGCATTGTGGTATACACGGAAGAGTGCTTGATTTGGCATCAGGTGACTTGGGTTCTGGCCGTGACTGCTGTCTGTCAACTATATGACCAGAGGCGAGTCCGCACTGCAGGACAGAGGCAGTAACATGTTTCTTACATTAAGTGACTAGAAACGATCAGAATGAAAGTTGTACTGTGTTGATTCCAAGCGCTTCTATACTTTTTTCATATTGCTCTTCATTTATATTGTCCTCTTAGGAAGGTGGCTTTACGCCTGTTTTATCTACCTCCTGGTTAGCTCCTGTTCTGTGTCTGAGAGGGCACGGAACCGAGATCACTGAGCTGGTGGCGGGCACTCTTGTGCTGGTGCTCCGCTGTCAGGCCTGGAGGGTGAAGCGGTCATCTGCGCAAGGCTCTCCTCTCCATGTGATGTGTGCCAGAGGGAAGGTGCCATGGCCGACAGGTGGAAGGATTTCTTTAAAATTAACCTGGGAATGAACTTGTAGAAAAATGAATCATGTAGAGTGGTTCCTCTTGGACTCTAGCTTTCATACTAGTTTTATTCCGTGAAGCACATTCAGTATGCTGAACATTCAGATATACACACAACAAACCATTCCTTTTCTTTGCAGAAAGCACCATCGTTTATTTGAACCCTGTGAATGTCACAGTGGCTGTTTTACATCTGCAACTCGTACTTCCTGAAAATGGGGTGTCGGCATCCTTATAGACGGGTGGTAGACCTGTTCCGTATTCTTACCATTTACGTTTGTGTGAACTAACAGCTCATCTTTTTACTTGGGGAGGACCTCGTTGTCGGGTCGTACTCTCACAGGTGACTTAATGAGGAAGCCATGGAATGACTCCAGCATCCCTTGCTATCTGAATCTCTCGTTCCTGGGATCACTATTTAACCAAATCTGCTGGGTTCTTGAGATCGGATAGTGAAAGATACTTGTCTGCACAGACTTTGCAGATTTCTTTTATTATTTCATTGGATTTTGCTGTTTGAAGAATTTTATGCTTCTTTAGCTTGGCAGTATTAATAATAGTAGAAAAAAAAAAGCATCGCTCTAGTGTACTGAAGGGGAGCAGCACTGTGTTTTGCACAGTAGTTTTCCAGGGCGGCAGTAAATGTTTTAAAGAGAAATTGCTTTCTTTATTTTATTCCGTACAGCCTGGAGCAAGTTTGGAACAGACACACATTTTTGTACTTGCACATATTCTTAGACGACCAATTATAGTTTATGGAGTAAAATATTATAAGAGTTTCCGGGGAGAAACTTTAGGATATACTCGGTTTCAAGGTAAGCCATTATTCAAGAGTATTTTAGAAGTCTCTTGTTAACTCACCAGGCAGCTTGCAGCCATATCCGGTAACCCCACGGGGATCTTCTTTCCTCCCTCCAGGTGTTTATTTGCCTTTGTTGTGGGAACAGAGTTTTTGTTGGAAGAGTCCCATCGCTCTGGGCTATACAAGGGGCCACTTCTCTGCTTTGGTTGCCATGGAGAACGACGGCTACGGCAACCGGGGCGCTGGGGCTAACCTCCACACCGACGACGACGTCACCATCACCTTCCTGCCCCTGGTCGACAGCGAGAGGAAGTTGCTCCACGTGCACTTTCTTTCTGCTCAGGAGGTAAGAGGGTAGGAGGCGCGGCGCTCCTGTGAACCACCAGAAGTGGTCCCGCCGCCCCAGCCCGGCCCGGGACGCCTTGCCCTGCGGCCTTCTCCGCGCCGCCAGCCCCGGCCCTCGGCTCCGCCAGCCCGTGACACGTACCTTTCCTGAGCTGTCTGTAGGTCGTGTGGTGCAGGTGCCGCCGTCATGGGAACCACCGTCAAGGCGGTGGGGGGGCGGTTTGCTGCTGAGGAGGAAAAACTAGAAAGATGGGGGGCGGGGGGAGCCCGGGGCTCATGATTGCAATCGGGCCGTAACGGGGGGTGTCTGAGGTGATGATGCCTGAAACGAGCCCCGTGAGAGAAGGGAGTCTTGCAGAATATGGGGGAAGAGAGCTGTAGGGAGAGGGTACCTCAGCCCCGGTGTGGTTTGTGGGGAGAGGGGGTTGAGGGGCTCAAGGATGGCAAGGGCCCCACCAACAGCCTTTCAAAGCCTTGGCTTTGACTTTGGGCAAACTGGGAAGCCTGCGGCCCGTCTGTCCGGTAGAGGACCACCGGCTGCTCGGTGTGGAGCCTAGAGGCTAGGTGCCCGGAGCAGTGGTGGGGGCAGCAGCGCCAGCTAGGAGACCACTGCAGATGCAGGGGCGAGGGAGGTGTAGACCGGGCAGGGGTGGTGAGGCTGTGCAGGAGGAACACGCTCAGAAAACCCGTATTCTTACAAAACTGTTGGTCTTTTACTTAATATACTAGTAGTTATTATAAAACTTTTATAATCAGGACATTAATTAGTAGAACATAATTTTTATAACTTCATTCTGTAAAGACTTTACTGAATAAACTTACCTTGTCATGTGTTTGAAGCTGAGAGTTTGTTTTTCTAGCCTTTTCTTTGCCAAGATCAGTGTATTAGGTAACACTTGGTTTTTCCTGTTTTCAAACAAATTAACTCTTTAGTAGGTGGTTTTTCCTCCTGTGAGATTTTCCTGTGAATTTTCCCGTTGATGTTTTTCTGTTTAACTATAGGAAACTGGGTTTTATCATAAAATTGATGAGAGACTGAAACCACGTGAAAAGTTTGTTGCTTTGACCTTTTTGTTAGTAATCCTGCCAGCTATGTTTTCATTAGACTTTTCCTAGCAGGTCTCTGATCTGTGGTATTATTTCCCCTTTTCTTCACATTCCTCTAAAAGCTAGGTAATGAGGAACAGCAAGAGAAACTGCTCAGGGAGTGGCTGGACTGCTGTGTGACCGAAGGGGGGGTGCTGGTGGCCATGCAGAAAAGTTCTCGGCGGCGGAACCACCCCCTGGTCACGCAGATGGTAGAGAAATGGCTTGACCGCTACCGACAGATCCGGCCTTGTACGTCCCTATCAGACGGAGAGGAAGATGAAGATGACGAAGATGAATGAAAAAAATCAAAGAGCAGAAGACCAGGGTATCAGCTCTGTGGCGACCCCAAAGCTAGTGTGGTGCACGCTCCAAGCAGAGCGCAAGGCATGGAAGGAACCAGATCTGCCAGGATCTGCCCGGAAGGGCTTTTCTAATCCACACCCAATGGAGATGACGTATCTGCTGTGTGAGGAGACAGAGAACTTTGTTTGGACTACAGTTTGTAAAAAAAGAAAAAAAAAAACTAATTTTATTAAGACAGAACTTTTTTCCTTTCAAATTGTAAATCTGTCTATAAATGTGTAACGCATGTGGTTGTGTAAGAAGTTGTGTAATAGGACAAGTTGTACCAGCATCTTCATATTATTGAGAAGTTTTTTCCAGCACGGGCACCTCCAAAAGCACATGGCAGATGACTCTCTGTTCCTTTGAGATACTCTTTTTGAAGTAGAACCTGGCATTCTACTTCCATCTTAAAAGGCCCACTTTACGTTGAGTCTCATTAGAGCTCATTAGAGATTTGGAAACTTTCTGTACAAATTATCCACAGCAAAACATAAAAATAAAAACAAGCTTTTATTTTATTAATAATTTAGTTCCTGTCATGCCCAATAAAACGAAGTCAAATCTTTAAGGAACAAACTGGAAGGAAAGTAAGAATTGTTTGAGTGAACTTCATACAGACGTCATTCCCTTGTTTTGGAAAGGGTTTTGGTTTCTATTATTTCGTCTTTTTTAAGCTTCTGATATGCCCCTTTTCAGTATTTAGGTATTTATTTGTTTGGAAGAGCACCCTTAACCTGAGGGTTCTTCTCCCAGAGTCCGGGCGGCAGTCTCTCTCTGAGTCGTCATTCCCGGGATGTAAGTTAAGAAAGAGCCTGGGGAACAGGCCCACTTGTAACTAAATGAATTGTGTGAAATTTGCGCACTTGATTCAGTTGACAATGTTATACTCCCAAATTGCCATGCAGAGGGTCTTTGGATTCTACCTTGTATCATCAACTCTGCTTTAAGCAAATCGTGTTAGAAAGGCATGCCTTTGCTTGGGCTCATTGGGAATCATTGTTAAGTATAGAATAAAGATTTGAAAATGCAGTAAGGTGGAAATGCATTATATAATGAATTTCTCAGAGTAGTCTGAGAATTTTTGCATGTTGGTTAATTGTGGCCATTCTTATTTAAAAGTTAAAACTTATAATCTTAGATAGAAATCTTTTTATAAAAAGTATTATTTGACCACTTCAGGTATATGTTCAATACTGGGTAAAAATTTCAGGCCTATCTCAGGAACACATGAAAGACTTAGTGTCCTGATAAGCACTTTGTAGACTATTAATGTGGCAAGGAATTTGGAAAGCAGCCCCATACACACACACACGCACGCTGTTCCTTCCCTTTGATGAAAAGGCTGTGAAAAACCTTTAAATATTTGCTTCTTGTTTCCTTCTAAGTTCTGTTTAGATGGTGTTTGAAATGTGCACCTCTAATTTGATGCTGGAATACTAAAAATAGAAAAACACCCATGAGATGTCATGTCTTTAGTTCCTTCTCCCCTCTCGGAACAGTGCAGAGATTCCCGGATGAGAGGATCACTTGTGCTGTATGCTAAAACTTGCAGGGAACTTTTGCAATTTGATTTCATATAAATGAGTTTTGGTGTAATAATGGTAAATGTTACTGTTCTAAGTGGCTAGGTTTCCCTACAAATTGACTCTCTGGTTGGCTTTCGTTTTGGTAAGTTTTTAGAAGACTGTCGTTCTGACTACTTAGCATCTCTGTAAACTTTTCTCCATACATAGGAAGAATTTAGTGGGCACAGATCCTATTCTAGTTGTTGTTAAGCAAAACTACCCTCTCAATTGAAGAAGCCAAAGAGAAACGTTTGAGAGAAGTGTCTAGTCACTATGGTCTACACTGCAGTCAATGCTGTCCAGAAATCATAGGCTCAGTAGTTAGCCTGTGTGTGGTGGTCTGCTGAGTGTTGCTTCCCCTGAGGTGCCTCTTTATTTATTTATTTATGATCAGTGATCCTGACCACACCTAGTTTAACGGGTACAGCATTCTTCCCTGTGGGAAAGGTAGAGCATTGCATTTCCTAGGCTCCAGACAGGGATGGGGCTTTAAATGGTTTTCATAGCAGATTGGCCACTAATGGCCAAAATGTTGGTGAATCAATGCTATGTTAAGCTCTTGAACTATTAAACAGCCATAATTGTTGTCCCGAGATAGAGTACGCAGTCCTTTCTCAAAGATGAGGTCTTGGTTGGCTCTGGACAGTAATTACCTTACCTGTATGGACTTAACTTTATCGTTCTTTTTTAGGGAGAATACAGTGTGGTGTTTTCTGTTCTAATTAAACAAAACCTAGGTGCACCATGGATTTGAACTGGCCTTTTTGTTTTTTTACTCTAGGCTCACCGTGTCCCAGACTTGATCCGTGTTACGGGAACACTGCTTTCTTTAGGCAGTTGGGGAGTCTCCTTTTTGCGCATGTGTTGTCATGCCCTCATTGACAACATCCTGGTTATGACGAGGACGTTAAGCTCCCATTCCGTTTCCTGGAGTGATGGGTCAGTCAGTAACCATTTGCTCCATCTCTACCATAGGAGGTTGTTTTAATGTAATTTTTCTGGGAGGGTTGGGATGGGGCCACCACCTTCAAATGAGGGAGGAGGTTGATGTTTGAAGGCCTGATCATAGCCCCTTCCCCCCTTTTCTTCATGGGAAGGGGAGGAGAAAGGAGTGACAGGGAGTTGGGTACCTGGAATTGGACCTGATGGATGGGTTGATACTTGCGGATACCACTAGAACAAAGGGATTTAATGCTATTCAAGAAGGAAAATCCTTTAAATCAACTTAAAGTTCTTAACATATGGAAATGGCTGATTTCTTTGTAACATTTCTTTGTAAATATTTAAAAGAATTTTGAGATTCACTTTCCTTCCTGCATTAATGCTTGAGCCAGGTAATTCTGCTTTTGGGTAAATTAAAATCAAAACTCTCTAACTTGACCAATTTTGTTTCTTGAATCGACTTAGTTCCAACCCACTATTTCATCTCGAGGATGTCATGATTTGGTAACGATGGACTTAATGGGCAGTTTTCTGATTTCTGGGTTAAGCTAGCGTAGGTAATCGCCTGCATATGGGCAGATAGAAAAGTGTTCATCTTTGAACCCGGGAGGAACACGAGTTGAAAACTGGCTAATTGAGAATGTAGTTTGCCTTTAAAACATCTCAAGTAGAGAACATTTACCTGGGTGAGATGTACTTGAATTTCAGAACTTAACAAATTTTTATTACTTTTTATTGAAAACTGCACTGAATGCTAAATGTCCACCTTTACAATAAACAGACACAGTAGCGGGAACTCACACTAAAACAAAACACTTCCGATAGCCATTATTTTTCTGTTTGGGACAGTTTTAAAGGATTTTTTTTTTTTGTCACAAAAACAGGAATGTACCTATACAAAGGCTCAAAATAGGCCATCTTTTAAACAAAAAGGCGATGATTCACAAAAGACTATGAATATAACATGTAACTAGTTGATACAAATCTAATAGGATTTGTTAAAATCAGTCACATCTAATAACACACCTGAAGTGTTCTTGTATAAAATATCACGTGAAGAAAAGAAGATTTATCAATGTCTAAAAAAGTGGGTTTGTTCATAGACAATCTGACAAGTTACCATAAAAAGTGTTTCCTGAGACATAAGGAAATGCAACATTATTTTTCTTGAACTCTTTTAGCTCAAGACTTTCCACTCAATAAAATAGCTGAGGATCTGAAACTGAGAAAATATATTTGAGTACAAACAGCTTGTGAAACTTAATACTTTTTTCTTTTTCTTTTTTTCTTTTTTTCCTTTTTTTGCATCATCAAGAGGGTATCACTGAATTCACAACCAACTCGCCCGCTCAGTATGCAGTTCAGATGATGGGAGAGAGACTTCTGTACAGGAGCCCGTACGCTTGTGGTGGTCTAACACGGGCACACAGTTTTCTCCCCCTTCTCTGTAGTAATTTAAATCTTCCTATCAGCAAACGAGGTCACCAGCCCCCATGGACCGAAGGGACTAGAGTCATAGGAGGGGGATTTCCTCTTAGTATTTTTTATTTGACGTTTGGAACTCCTGATGCAACATTCTAGAGCCAGGTGTTCAGGACCTGCTGTGCCCAAGGGGCTGATAAAGGAAAAGGATCTATTTATTCTTTGTGATTGGATGCACAGATGAAGAACGTAACACACAATAACAGAAGTTGGTCGTTAATAAATCGCGTCCTAGTCTTTCAGCGCTTCCGTCACCAGATGACAGCTCCAGCCTTCCCACGCCTCGGCTTCTCGCTCTCATAACACTGCAGCGTCAATGATGCGTATGTCCGGAATCGGTTAAAAAGACGGTCAAAGTCCTTTTCTTAGTTTTATCTATTTTTCACTGTCTCTTGGTCCCAGGTTTATCTGAGTGATGACCGTTCGTCATTCTCTGCTATTGCTCATTGGGGTGCTCTCTATTGTCCCCGTGTTTTGTAGGCTGGTTGGGAGAGGGAGCTTGGGAAGGGTGTGCCACTGTGGGGAGGTTGTGAGTCACCGGGATGCCTCCGGGGATGATCCCTTCCATGGCTGCAGGAAGTCCACCGGGAGCCACCCCCACGATGCCTGGCGGGTATCTGGAGCACACAAAGGAAGGGCCAGTAAGTCGGGAGCAGGGAGGAGCAAAGTCCTTGGCTCTGCCTACTTCGGGTGGTGGTTTTTAAAAAGGTTAGTCACTTTACCCCCCAAAAGCAAGGAGAAATCCACATGAAAAATCTAAAACGCTGACATTTAACTCCTAAACAAAATCTATGTAGTCCAATCAAAACTGCCACAGACTGTGTAGCTTTCACACAATAGGAACAGCCCGCATCACGTCCACGGACACTACTGCATTTGGGAAACATTCTGTTCAAAAAAAGTCCGGCTGCCTTAGAAAGTGTTCATTAGTTGTATCGATGCTTTTAATGATCTCCCAACAGACCACACCCTAGGCGAGCTAGCTGTGTGCTCTCGGGGCTGGAGCTGTGGGACCAGACGGCGGCGGCAGCAGGGGAAGAGCTGAGCCGGCGAAGGCTGCCCTTACGGCACGGGCACACGAGCTGCTGTGCGCGCAAGGACACGCTGGCACTAAGCCACCCACAGAACATGCGGCTCTTACGCAAACGCGAGTCCGGGTACTGAAACACGCCTCGGATAAAACGGACTTAGGAGGCAGGTGCTTTAGAATTAAAAGACTCATTCTCAACATTCTCAAACCCTTGACCCATGGCTCCCCACCCCGCACCCTGTCACAAGTGCTCACTGGTTGGTCAGAAATGAAGGACTCCCCAGGATTTGGTGAGCTACAGCCTCTCGAGCGTAAGCCCTATTCCAAGGGGCCAGGGAGGCTTGGTCTGTCAAAGGGAAGAGTTAAGATGGGGCCTTGAAAAGGACAAGCTGCCAACAATAAGGAACAGGAACGTGGGGCCGAGGCAGGTTCAAGTGATGACACCGAAATACTATTAAAAGGGTAAAAAAGAGTGGGACATTAACAGAAGATGGCAAACCGAAATGTAAATAAAGCCACGAGACCCAGGAAGAAAACCACATGACTTCCTCAGAGTCTGAGCCTTCACCTATGGGTCCTCCTACACCAACTATAGTTCCCCCATCCCTCGCCCCCTCGCCCCCGCCGCCCCGATGGTTAGAGGGTGCTTAGAGCCGTGCTTCACAGCGGGGGATGTTAGGCAACAGCTCGAGCCATTTTCCTTTATTAGGGTTGCGAGTGCTGGTGGAGGCCAGGGCCACCAAGACGCATCCCACAGTGCAAAGGCTAGGCCCCAGGGGACAATGATCTGGCCGGTAAGTGAATACTGCCAGGAGTGGGGCAACCGTGGGTTACAGCAAGACCGCAATTTCCTACTGGAATTCAAGGCTGCAGCTCCTTTATAAAGCCGGACTTTGATTTCCCTGTGAGCCCAGCCATGGTCGGGAGAGAGCCATGGGAAACGGGGCTGTGCGGGCTCTGGGCCAGAAGATTCAAATTAGCAAACAAATTCACCAGCAGGCCCTTTCCCCTGAAAATCTTCCCGGTACCTTCTCACCCAGCAGCCCTCTGCTTCTGATGCGGTTCGGAATGCAGGGGGATTCCTCGCAGCGTTCAGACCCTCTGGGGAATGCACTCCCAATTCCCACTCCTTATAAATAAGAACCCCAATTCTAGGCTGTATCCTGAAGAGTTGTGATTGCTCCACAGAAATTGGGTAGCGGCACAACGGCGAGGACCGCAGACTTGGTGCAGGGAGACTCCGGTGGTTTCCCCATCTCTCCTCCCCTCTCCCCGCCGGGAGCCCTCCAGCCCAGGCCGGTGCCATTCTGCTTCTCACCTGTACGTGGCGCCGTTGAGCTCCGGATGGATTGCTTGCTGATCTATTACTGACCAGGGAGCTGTTGTGACGAAGAATTCCTTGTTCACACAGTTTCTTAAGCTTTCGGGGAT